TGTTACTAAAACAACTGTAAGTTTTGTGTCCTCAGATAAACAATTAATACAGAACACTGAGGTTTTACCAGTGGGACGTATTCAACCTTTTTTTTAAAGGCTTAAGAATTACAGTGTTCTGGAATATTAAGGAAATTCCAGTTAACATTCAGCCTTCTGCCAAATAATACTCCATCAGTAAAAAAAAAAAAAAAGGCTGAAATTCTGTCTCTGTTTAAGCCAGCTGGAATTTTACCACCAACTCCAGTATGGCCAAGGGAAGTCCACGATCATGTAAGCGGTAAAGTAGCTTCAGTGAGCTTTGAGTTTTAACCAGTAAATGAATTTGAGATAATTACAAACAATCAAACAAATGATAAAAAGTGGATTTTTGAGAAAATTAGTGGCACAATAATTAAAATGATTGCTTTTCATGGGATATCATAGAATCATAGAATGATTGGGGTTGGAAGGGACCTTTAGAGGTCATCTAGTCCAACCCCAATAATAAATTAAGGACTATTCTTATATTAATAGTAAATAAGTTGTCTTTTTTAAAACAACTGTTCTGGAGCTCTTCTGAGACAAACAAAAATTTGATAGAAAAAAAGAGAGTTCTACTTAGTACATTATTCATAGGTATACTGGTTGATTTCACTTATTTTCATAATTTTGCAGCATCTTTAATGGTTATGAACAAGCTTTTCTATGTCTGAATTTGTTATTGAGTTCCACACTGCTAAAAGCTGTCTTGCTTTTGTATATTTGAAATACGTTTATGTCCTTATGGATTATCAACAAACACGTTTTTTTTTCTTATAGTATTTATACACTGAACTATTCTTGTTATTTCTGGTACTGCTACTGCATATGTTACTTTTAAAAGGCAATTCTACACATAGCATGCATTATTCTTCCACTCTTACATTATTAATACTTCATAATGATGTCTTACCATAATGTTCAGTCATGTGCCTTAACATATCTGGGTTTTGGAAATAATATTGAAGCTGTTACATTTCTGTTTATGAACATTAGCATTCTTAACTAATATACATTTCAAGCACATTTTCAGTCTACTGATATGCTGCACTGGCTAAGAAATTTTGCTGACCTAATAAGGAGATGGGAACAGCCTTTGAAGAGAGTGATCCATGAAGTCTCCATACAAGTTTTGCTGTATCAGAGAGATGACAGTATACCAAGCCAACCCTCCTACTGGAGAAGTCATAAAAGATAGCACACACATATACACACAGTTTGTCTGTTCATCACAGCTTTGTTGTTCTCCATTTTATACATTTGCACCTACTGTGCCAATTCAAAGACCATCTATGAACTTCATTCCAGAAATCGGAAAAGGAATGTGCATTATTTTGTTGGGCCATATCCTCCTGTGCTACATGGGTCTGCATAACAGAGGCAGGTGGCTTTCACCCTGCACAGGAACACTTCCTCCTCTGGTACAGAACTATGGTCATTTCACCTTACCCCAATATCTGTGTTGGAAACAAGTTTTATCTCCAATGAAATTATAATTCAGGGCCAAATTAGAATTCCTTTAATCAGTAGAGCAAATTGGAATTCCACTAAAAAGAAACAAAGTGAAACCTTTAGGATTTGGCTGCACTATTATACAAAGACCTCCAAATAAATGAGTTTTGTGTGCTTCAGGCAAACACTCCCTGCCCCAAATAGCAATGTGTTGGTGGAATTCACTGAAATTTTATTACAAATTCAGAACTCAATGACAATCTTGCTGAATTAATGTGACTTGGACTGTTAATCTGAGAGTAGAAGTGAGCCTTGTATTCTTTTTCTCGTTCTGCATTGAACAGTGTCACCTAGATTGCCATGGAACTTTGCCACAGGGAAGTTGCACAAGCTGCAAAACATGCAGCAGCTGTTTATGTACCATTATGTATGTTTAAAATAATTCATATCTATAAAGATGGCTTGATCTTTTCAGCAGATGCTCAAAAAGTCATAAATAGAAAAGGTCAAAATAGTAATGGATTTGGTCCTACTGAAACTAAATATTTTCATATTTGCAAAACTGGTAAAAAAAAGAGATTTGTAGAGTTTTTATCATGAATATAGTGTTGTTTTTCTACAGCACTTTGGAATACTACAGTCATTCACAGTTGTCATAAAAGTGGTAGACAAAGAAAGGCGTATTCAAAGCCTAAGTAGTAAGGAGGTCACAGAGCATCCTATTTTTAATTCTGAAGCTTTTGTAACTTAAGAATCTATTTTAAAACTCAAAAAATATTGTGTGCTTCAAAAAAAAGAACTGTAGAACTCTACTTTTCTAAGAATATATACTGGTTTCACTTTTACATTATGTCCTGTCCAGGTTGAAATCACAACTACAATATGCGTGCATCAGAACAAAAAATTTCTGATTGCTTTCACTCGTTTTCTCATGATTATGAGAAATTATCCATCCTTCCAACAGTACTGAATACTATAATGAACAATACAAAGACTCAGTGTCGGGTAAGTCTCCACTTGGCCTCCTTCTCCTCTGGTTTACCTGGATGTTTCTGATTCTCTTTGGAATTCATACAATAGAAGGTAAATTGATTGAATCGACCCTTCTAGTCAAGAAGTGAAAAACAACACACATACACAGAGTCTCTCTTTTTATCTCAACTAAATGAGAAATCCCTTCTTTAAAACATTTTTCTGGGAGGGACAAACTGGTACATAGTGGCCGTGGTTAGACAATCAGCATAGACCTGCTCAGCTAAACTATAGAAACTTAACTAAATACAGAATATTTTTTTTCAAGACAAAAAAAGGAAATAATAAAGAAATCTATTAGCACTGAGAATCATTAAAAAGATTTGTTTCAGGGGCCTGATAACCAGTGTCGATAAGGAGAGAAAATTCATCTCCCAGAACATGCATGCTCACATAAGTTACTTGATCTATGGAAGGATTCAAAAGTCATCTTCTCTTAGTGGGGGGAAATGAAAATATCTTTGCTCTGGTTGGTATAATTGTCACCAGTAAACTTAATCACTGCAGACTTAATGTGCTCAGAAAAACTTGTGACGGAATGATTAGCAAAATCCTTCCCTGAGGAAGGTACTACAGTCATGAGGAATTAATCAGGAAATGGGGGGTCTAACTTTGTAAGGTCATGTCCAAAAGTCTTTGTATGGGAACAGGAGAATTAGGTATATTTTCTCATGTGTTATCTATTATTTGCCATAATACATAGACAGATAATATATTATCTATTATTTTTCTGAATGCACAGCTGGTGATTGGGAAACGTGGGAATCAAAGACAGGATTTATGTAGAAATATGTCTGTTGAGTTTATTTTGTTTTGCATTTAGTTTCTGACTTCTCGGCTTCAGTGAGCTTGTCATCTGTGATCAGTGAATGACAGGACAGACATTGCATAGTCACGACTTTGGACCTCTCTTCAGCGAGGTCCTCAGCCAGTTTAAGGAGTTATGCAGATTTTCCCAACCAGTATTTCACCTTGCTGTCCACTTGGCTCTGGTAGCTGGTATTAAAAGACACCTCTCAGTATCCCTCAAGCGACAGAAGAGCACTGTGAATTAATTTAACCTAGCAGTTCAATCTCTACAAACTTGCTACAAACTAATGAAATTACATGGTCAAGCAATGACAGGCTTGTGCTACTTAAGCTCCTCTAACATTAGTTTCAAACACCTAAGCTAACAAAAAGATACTTCAGGAAAGGCTTGTTATTTAATGGATCTCTGATAAACGTAAAATTGTGGTGTTGTATTAATGTTTAGGTAACTTCTACCATTAGGTGCCAGACAACGGGGAAAAAAGTAGAAAAGGAAAAAGACAATATATTTTCCTTTATTTGACCTTCTTTAATGGAAATCTTTGTTACAAGGTCTGTATTGACATAACTCTTTATGAAAATTTATCTACTTTCCAATGAGTACTTTGTGCTGATTAGGTGAGAAAGGATTACCTTCTTTCCTGCTATTTATAACAGAGCTAATGATTTTCTTTGGGGTGAATAGCTTCTTATTTATCTTCGGATGCTTTCCTTGACAGGCACAAAGTCAGGACAAAAAGGTCTTCATTGCTTCTTTTGCTACAAGGTAAAAATATGGGGCTGTTTCCTGTAAATGGTTCTACTCACCCAGGTATTCTCATATGTATGGGTCATATTTGTCATATGTGGGGTGTTCCCTCTCATTTTGAAAATTAGAGTAAAAAGATCTATCCATTACTCAGTTATCTTAAATGCTAGTGTATTTCTAAGAATCATCTGGTTTAAACTAGTATAGCTTTATTCTGGCTTTATTAAAATGCCCTGCTATGTAACTGCCCTTCCATTTATAGTAGTTTCACTTTCAGGATAGCTGTGTTTTGGAAAAGGTTTTAAAGCAGATGAATCATGAGTTCTCCTGGGAAGCACTGTTCTGCAATAAGCTGCTGGCTCTTTGCCCCATATACAGACATTTTCTAATACAGTCATTAGGACAGTTCCTATTCCTCCATCATATTAAAAAAATAATGAGTTCTTTTCAATAACTTTTACAAAGCCCATAAGACGTGACATAGCAAATCCTTCCTGTTTTACTTCAATACTGAGGTTTCAACCCCTGTTATAGATTGGTATTTGCAGGATCAGACATGCAAAGGAAAAGTATCAGCCTTACAAATTATTTCTATTGTAGAGTTTGTTTGTCGTATGTTAGAGAAGCAGCTGTTTGCTGAAATTTTGTGGAAATCTCCTCAAGTATTTGGCATAAAGAACCAGTGTTTCTTTCATGTAAATGCAATGTATTATCCTGTTTCTCTTAATCGGTATAATATACTAAAATTACAGTGCACCCATCTGCATTTAACTTTTACATATGAAAATATTTTCATAATTGACAAATGGCTCTTCACAAATTTCTCATAACAGTAGCAATGACACATTTGTAATGGGATGTCCCAGTGCAATTCCATCAAATTAGAAAAAAGCATAATGGAAACATGAGACAGATTTAGCAGTAAAAGCGTGCTTACCTTCATATGTTCCACTTTCCAAGAGAGCACCACTTTTCTCCAATTCCATAAAATCTTCAACAGTGATGAAAATATAGTCCACACCAGGGACTTCCCCCTCCTTATGTGGCCTTGTGGTGCCTATTAGTAAGATGAAAGACATGCTGTCAAGCACATGACCTAAATATAGAATGATCTTTTTGAAAGTTTTGGAAAATTTACAAAGTAAACCGTTTATCCAACACATTCTATGGCACATCCTGCTTGTGAGGATGTCTTTCAAAACCGTATAGCTACATTGGTTGAAGCTGACAAAGGCGTATGTGATGTATGTCTAAGATCATGCCAGAAGTTCTTTGGATCCATATTATTTATTCTCACTCATGAAAAGGTATCATACTGCTATTCTTTTTATGTTACTAGAAAGACCCTCAGTGACACTAGGCATTCAGAGGTAACGCGAATCTTTGATGTGTATTTTCTATGGCTTCAAACAGAGTCTAGTCTACAGTTAATCTGCTTCATGATCTTTTAAACATTTGTATAGTATACAAAATAATAAATCTGTAAGTAAATCTGTAAGGGTTATATTCACATTGCTTGTTTCAATGACATAAGCGGACTTGATAAATTGTTAGGCTTAAGCGACTGAGTAATCAAATTCAAATCACCTGCTAACCATGCTGTCAAACTGCAGATGTGCTTATATTTAGTTATTGCCCCTATTGTCATCTGTGGTCGACAGAACTCCATAGATGCCGGCAGAAGTGACTTGACTTAGCTAGCAGAAGTTGAGAAGTTAGCAGGGAAGCATCTCAATTTGAGATGCTAATTTCCTAATGGTCCATTTTACCATGGTCAGGCTATCCCTATTTTGACTAAAACCACTAAATGGCTCAAAACTCCATTTGTAAATGGGAGAGTTTTAGGTCCTCCTCAGTCTCAGAGTCTTTCAAACATCTTAATCAATCAAACCTTTATCAATATTGTAGTGATTACATCACACTCGCAGGGTTTGGTTTCAAGACTGTTGGCACTGGGAAGGGGCTAGAAACCAGTTCTTCCACTTCCTGGACAGAAGTTTAACGTTATGATTTTGTGCAAAAGACACTGTCTCTTCCTCAGTTATTAATCCACCACCTTGAACACTGTACCGTGAAGCTTGTATTATGCAGCAGTGATTCAGACATCTCTTCAGGTAAGCTAACATAAAACCTATTTCATCGACTTTTTGATGTCTATTTTTCAGAATCTGCAGTTAAACCTCTTGAATCATTTTGTGAGAAACTCAGCATGAGATTAAGAAAGCTAAGTCTAATTGTCTACATTTCTGCCATGTGTATAAACTATTACAGTCAATAGAGATCTCATCAATGGTGTAAGCAAGAGAGCTATTCAGCTGCCTACCTGCTAAGAGCTCAATTCAGTTGGCCATACATAGGTCTCTGTGGGATGCCCCAGATATCCATGTGAAGCTAGCAGATATGCAAAGGACAAAATATCCCTTGCAATGCCCAAAATGCACTTGCACTGCCCAAAATGCAACTGTCTTAACCTTATACTGAATCCCACTCTACAGCTAGAGATAATGGAGACTTCCATGCAATGAAGAACATATTAGAAGTGCAAGGTTCTCTCTGTGACAATGACAGGACTCCCATGCTCTCAGGAATTCCTACTAGCCAGTGTTCAGCTTTGCCAAAACACTGGACGGCCTTCAGAGTTGTCCAAACTCCTTGCTGTCAATGGTACCTTAGTTAGGTTACCTGGACTGCTTGTCATAGACACCTTTCTCTCCTTACAGGCAGCCTGAATGTCTACAGCAAAGACTTAAAGAACTTGAGAAGCTAGTATTTCAGTAGCTAACATCAGGAATATGTTTTGCTAAATCTATAAGACACTTTCCCTCATTTTTCTGATTCCAATTCCCTTTTCATCTCAGCATTTAAAACTAAAACTCATCTTCTTTGTTTATTTCTGGGAATTTCATATTTGCAGAAATGGGTTGGTTAAGATTATTACTATTGTGTTTCAGGGATGCTATGGTTAAAACACTCAGACACTTGGATTGTCCATAAATATGTTGAATTTACTCCCCATGGAATATCTGCGCCCTGGGGATGCAGCAGCATCCTCAAAGATCTCCAGCCCTTTGTGAGAACTGTGCAGAAACACAGGGATTCTGGCAAGCCCCCGGGCTCCTGGGAGCTCTGCTAACAGCACAGGCATCAGATGTTTGATCTGCATGCTCTCTCCTGAGGAATTTTTCACTCCGAAGGTCTATTGACAGGAACTGCATCTTCCTCATAAAACACTGGCAAATCAATGCTATGCTATTCCTAGACATGGCACAGGGAAGAAGCTGGCATATTAGATTAGTACCTCTAGTTTACTGTTTCTTCAATATTTCATGTAGCCAAACTAGGATTACCAGAAGTTTATCAATCAGACAAAAATACAAGTTACATAAAATGTGGAGGTAAGCCTTCCTTTGAGTGGGAAGTTGGACTAGATGACCTACTGAGCTCCTCTCAATCTAAAATTTCAATGATTCTGTGATATTGAGTGTTAATACACTACTGTAGTTTGTTTCAAACACAGGGATATTCAGTAGTCATATTCAGCAGGGATGACTGCAAAGTCTCACAGGAGGTCCAACAGCAGACTCAATTATCCCCGTGTTTCTCTATTTTTGTCATGGTCTTCAGTCAACTTGCCTAGAAAAGTGTAATGGACTAAATTTCAGATTCTGGATCCCTCTCTTAAATTGGCAGCTAAAGACCTGACTTTTCTGCCCTTACGTGACTTAGTCACGTTCTTTTGGATATGGTACATACATGATAACCTTTGCATATGCCCTGCACTATGAATTGAATATTCTGTCTAATCTGCTTCCACTATTTCAAATGAAATGCATGGTCCAATTATAGACTAACTCAGTATCCTTAACACACAGCTTAACTCTAGCCTGTCTGTTCTCCAGTCGAATTGCTCATCATCTGTCCCACATGTAATGTAGCCAGGAGATGCCCTATATTTACAGATGCAAATGTAATCATTATCTTGTTCTATAACACTCCAAGGTTTCAAATAGTTGCTATTTTGCTTCAAGATGAGACTAATGGTTTTTTTGTGGCAAAACCAAAAGACCCAGAACTCTACTTCAGAATCACCAATGTGCTACTGTACACAGCAGCTGCTTAATTTAGTCTCCCTGAATCTCAGTTTCCCACCGATTTTCATAGGTGACTAAATAGCTACTGGTAATGCTACAGTATGTTTTCCTTTGTCCATTTCTCTTGCACCCATGGTTTCACTAGATATCCCAGCATGGAGATGAGGAACCCTTTCTCATGAAAGTTGAACTGAAATGGGTAAATTACACAAATGAGCACTTTTAAGGAAGAGCAGATTTTCTGGAAAATTTCTTGCCACTTCTACCTATACCTGCTATGTCTGTCCTACAATGCCAGGAGACAATATGGTCACTCAGATGGTAACACGGAAGGTTTCACCCTCTTTTCTTATAATCCTTAGGGAGTTTGCTCCAAGAGCTCTGCATTGTGTCATACATTGGGTGTTGTACTCCTATAAGATGGCAACTACTCACTTCCCTCAAAAAATGGAGAAAAGAGCAAACCATGATCCCTAGATGCATGTGTTCAGGGTGACTCTTACACCAGGTACAGCAGTTTCCATCCCCACCAGAACTTTATTGCTCTTGATAAAATCTTACTGAGTCCCATTTCCCTCCTGCATCTGTTCTTATTCCCTCAGCCTGGAGGACCTGAGATCTTGCAAATGGTTAAAGCAATTCCCTGACTAATGGAATAATCAATAGTTATTGCCTCTTTTACTCCTTCACCCTGGAGGAACTGAGTTGCTGCTATTAATACTTCTGTCGTCCTTTATACCTTTCTGTAAGCACCATAGGGTTTGCAATGTGCAGGTTAACAGACTTGGAGGCAGTTACTGGAGAATCTTAAACACCCACCAAGATCTGAATGTTGAGGTCTATATATAGGAATCTTACAGACCATAGGCAATTTTTCTTTTTGCTTGCTTTTAAATTAATGCAGAGTTACTGTTCTTAATAGATTTTGTCTTTAACTACACTCATACAGACAGATAAGCAGGCCTAAAACTATGGTGATTCAAGACTTAAAACAAAGGATTAATTCTAAGCCTCATATTTTTACATAAACACACCTCTTGTTATATAGCATCAAGGCTTAATAGGGCACACTTGCTACTGCTTATAATATTGAGCCTTTTATTAATGTAAAATGAAAATAGGAACCCAGTTACCATTTTGTTACCATGGTAACGTAAGAAAAAATAATCTTTGAATTCCATAATGAAAGAACATGATCTTCCAGGATCAAAACCAACAAAGTATATTTGCGTTATGCATATTTATGATGAATACAATCTATTGTTGCTGTTGAACAGAAGACACAAAAGGAGCAGCTTGCAAGTAACCACGACCAGTTCATACAAGCGAGTACTGTCACACAACATGAAGGTACCTTAGAAATTACAGGAACTTGACCTAATCTGGACTGATACTGACTTTCTTTGATTTCATGAGCACTGCTTGCATCGTTCATCGATTTGCTCTCAAAAACAATATTAAGGTCATTCACCGAGCAACTACTTTGTCTGGATTTACAACTTCAAGATGGGTGGTTGCTACAGTTTAGAGATATTTAAGCTATGTGGCAGATTTATTTTTTTATTTAAAAAAAACTCCCTTTGCCTTTTCAGCTTGTTTCTTCTTCTGTCCTGCAGGGGAAACATGGTGAGTCACCATACCTGAGTGCAGGCTTTCCATGCTCAGTGTTATGTTACATGATGGCGCTATGTTTCTGGAGAGAAGGTGCCATTTACATGAATAGCCTTTGAAGGAGCATTTTTCTTTTAACTGAGCATAAAGCACCTGAGGGTATACATTTAGACACCTAAGAAATCTTTACAATGAGCCAGAAAAGGAGTGTGTTAATTTAATAACAATAAACTATTTTTGAAATACTGCCTATATGAGCTTGGGGAACAATAAATAACACTTAACATGGAAGTCTTATGTTGACTGCTAGTGCAAGTTGGAAAAACGGTCAGTTCATGTAGTCTTCAGCCCAGAT